ATATATGTATATATATATATATATATATATATATATATACATATATATACATATATACTAAAATAAGCTACTACTTGTACTACTATCCCTACTTCATGGTTTTTCACTCATCACGTGGCTTCAAGGTACGGATCCCCGCAATAAACGAGGGACTACTGTATTGGTTATCCATCCATCCATCCATCCATCCATCCATCCATCCATCCATCCATCCATCCATCATCTTTACCTGCTTCTTCCTTTTTGAGTCACTGGGTTCACTGGCACCCATATCCAGCAGTCACTGTGCGAGAGGCGGGGGACACCCTGAACGGGTCTCCAGTCCATCACAGAGACACATAGAGACAAACAACCATTCACTCTCTCACTCACACCTAGAGAAAATTTAGAGTTACCAGTCAGTCTAACATGCATGTTTTGGTCTGTGGGAGGAAACTGGAGTACCTGGAGAAAACCCACGTATGCACAGAGAGAACATGCAAACTCCAACCAGAATGATCCCCAGGCCAGGATTCAATCTGACAACCTTATCGCTGAGAGGCAGCAGCTCTACCAACTGCACCACCATGCCACCTGTGTTGTTTTTTTATCATCATTAATCAATGCACAAACCATAGCTGAACATTTTGCTTCCTTAATGAGGTTCATCCAACTCGGCCTACATGGTTTTGTAAACTTTGTGAAAGAATTTACTCAAAATATTTTTTAAATCTTTCATCCTAAAAGATAAATTACACCTTTAAAACAAAGGAACTTGTGGTCAAACAACAGTTTTGTGGCATCCCATTCCAATAAAAATAAAGCTTGTTTCCCAAAGTGCATTATATTTGTTTTATCAAGAGATAAGGAGGATGTAAGAATAATTTATATGGGACCTTTGATAGGCGTCTGACATTCATACAGCAAATGTTTGCAGTGTCTTGGCAGTAAAACTTTATATCCCATTTGGGGATAGGGTGGGTGTAAAAAAAAGTGTGATCTGAATATAAAAGGCAGCCAAGTATAGTTGGACTATTTCCATCTTCGGTGGCAGTAAGCCTCACAGTGGCAACGATGAGCTGGAGGTGTGTGTGGTGGGGCGTTTTGGCTTTATCGGTTGTTAGCATCCCAGAGGTCAAAGCCAGACTGGGTAAGGATCAGATTTTAGATTGACAGGCATCATTTTAAAAACCTTTGTAATTAATATATATACTTTACTACATTTACATAAATCTTTTCCAGTTCGCAATCATGTCAGCAACATCTGCAGCACGTGGGGCAGAGAGCACTTCAAGACCTTTGATGGAGACGTTTACCAGTTTCCTGGTATGTGTGAGTACAACCTGGTCTCCGACTGCCACGAGTCCTACTGGGGCTTTTCAGTCCACATGAAGAGGACAGAGGAGGATGGAAACCCTACGATCAGTTACGTAGTGGTCACGGTCAATGAGCTTTCATTCCACATCAGCAAGGGTCAGATTACCGTCAACAACAAGTAGTAAGTTACAATTAAAACTCTATGAAATTACATTTGTGCTTTATAATAAATTTAAAAAACAACTTTATTTTAAAACTTTTTATAGTGTGACACTGCCATATCACAAGGGAGGAGTCCAAGTGAACAATAATGGAGTTTACATCAAGCTCCAGTCTAAAGTTGGATTCACTGTCATGTGGAACGGTGACGATGCAGTCATGGTAAAAACAGAAAACTCTGAAAATTATAAAACATTTATTATAATACAACCCCCATTTAGGCTCCTTTATAAGTATTATTGGGCATTTTGTTTCCTATCATTGTATAGATGATATTTGACAAACAGCCAATGTATAATTTTTTTAATGTCCTTGAAAGATTATTTCATTAGGTCACTATGTGTTTTTACATTCTGCTTTAATTTTTATACAAAATTTAGTGGGGTTTTTTTCTCCCTTTGTACAAATTAATTTGGTGTAAATAGGTCATTTTAAAGACCCTTTTCTGTGTGTTTAAATTTCTTAGGTGGAAATCGATAATGACTTTTCAAACCGTACATGTGGACTCTGTGGAGACTTTAACGGCATTCCAGTCTACAACGAGTTCATCTACAATGGTATAAATATGGTTATTTATGTTATGCTGATGAATATAATCAGGAATCTGGGATGTGACTCTGTGATTTGATGATCCGCAGGTCGTAAAGTCAACCCCATTGAATTTGGCAACAAACACAAAGTCCATCGCCCAAACGATGACTGCGAGGACCCCTACGAGGAGGAAGACGAATCACTGGAGGATGTGACGGCGCCTGATTCCTGCAAGGAATTTGTGAGTTCATCGTGAAGTTTTTACAGTCAAAGCGTTGTGGTTAATAGTAACTTAGCTTTTGTTTGCATCTCTTTTGGTTTCTTCACAGGAGACAACTTGTAAAGAAATGTTCCACTCAGAGACCTGGAGCTCCTGCACCAGACTGATTAACCCTGAAGCTTACATCCTGGCATGTGTGAAGGACATGTGTTCCTGCACGAATGGCACCGATGATCTCTGTGTCTGCAGCACCATGTCTGAGTTCTCCCGACAGTGTTCCCACGCAGGAGGACAGCCTCCCAACTGGAGAAACCCTCACTTCTGTGGTAGGCAGTTTATTCTCCTGCTTTTTAGTTATTGACTCAATATTGACTGATATTATCTCGATGAAAACAGGTCAGAAATGAACCCCTTTGTTTATCATTCTTGTCCTTATAGCTAAACGGTGTCCGTACAACATGGTGTTTGAAGAAAGTGGTTCTCCCTGCATGGATACTTGCACTCATCAAGACGCAAGTTCACTGTGTGAGGATCATGAAATAGACGGCTGCTTCTGTCCTCCTGGTGAGTTACGTTATACATAAAATCCTTGTCATAGTGTTTTTTCCTCCAGCATCACTGAGATGTACGTGTCTTCCTCAGGAACTGTGCTTGATGATATCTCCATGAGGGGGTGTATTCCTCGGTCTAAATGTCAGTGCAGGCATGACAAAATCTACAACACCGGAGATGTTTACAGACTGGATCGAGAGGAATGGTGCGTCAACGGTTCATCAAATAATGTATTTTTTTTGGTTGCATTTTAGTATATACTGTATATGTTTTGTTTTTTCAGCACATGTTTTGATGGGAGATGGGCCTGTGTGAGTCTTGAAACGCCTTCTACGTGTTCGGTTGAAGCAGGTTCACATTTTACTACCTTTGATGGGAAAACCTACACCTTCCACGGAGATTGTTACTACACACTGGCCAAGGTGGAAAGCAAGGTAAGTGTGTGATTTAATGGTATAAAATACTACACAACATTAGTAATAATATGTAGTTTTTATTTTTCTGCTTTCATTTAATACATATTTCAGAATGGTACACCTCGGAAGTTTACTGTCCTGGCCCAGTTGGTGCCATGTGCACACCAACAGTCTGACACTTGTTTAAAGACCCTCAAAATTCTGCTGAACAACGACAAAAACAACGTGAGTTAATGTTAAAGTCATTTGTAAAAACTCACAGTCACGTCTGCAACACTTTGCTGACCAGCTCTGTATTTGTTCAGGTACTAACATTCAGCCCTGACGGCACAGTTAAGCAGAATATGCAGACTGTCAATTTGCCCCACTACTCAGGTGAAAAATACTGTAAAATATGTTGGTATCAGCATTGGATTGTGTTAATCACATCAGAATATTATGATTCTGATTGTGTTTGTGTCTTTAATTAAAGGGGACATCAACATATTCCGCTCTTCATCTTTTCACATCTTGCTCCAGACAAGCTTCGGGTTACAAATTCAGATCCAACATGTTCCTCTGATGCAGGTCTACATCAGCCTGCAGCAGCGCTACAGAACAAAGACACGAGGTAGGCTTTATGTACGGGTTTCTGAGCAACACGCTTCTAACAACAAGCTTTGGCAATGAACAGTTACTTCAAATTAAACAGTACAGTCTGTAGGTGGGAATACTTTAACCAGAAACATGTCATTTCCTGTGAAAAGGCAATGTGAATGCAAAGTACTGAATGACATTGCTAAATTTTGCTGGTGATGCTGAAACTGAGGTTTAAGCTAAAAAGACCTTAATGTTAGCTAAAAGCCAAAGTAGCAAAACTCTAGTTAAAAACTAAAAGCAGCAAAATCTTGCTAAAAGTAAAAAAAAATCTAATAGTATCAAAAGGCTGCTAAGTTCAAACTAGTAAAAATGCTAACTAAAAGCAAAAAGTTACCTGCTAAAACCTAAAGTAACAATTGGATAGCTAAACATAGCCAAAAGCTATCTAAAAGCTAAAAGTAGCAGGATTTTAGATAAATGTAGCATATTAGGACATAAATAGAACATGGGAACATCTGTTCCGCTTAAACCCAGCCAGTCAAAGCAGATGACCACTTGTCCTGATCCTGGTTCTGCTAAAGGTTTCTTCCTCATGAGGGAGTTTTTCCTTTCCACTGTCGCCTTCATGCTTGCTCAAGATGAGAGTTCTGCGATGGAGTTAAATTCAAAGCAGTCTGCTCCTCAGATAAATAATGTTAAATTATTATTTTATATATGAAGGTTTCTGTTCAGTGCAACTTCTGTTGTGACTTGGAGCTATATAAATAAACTGAATCGAATTGAATTAAACAGATTTAAAAGAGAACAGTGTATATGAAAGAACTGAAGCACTGTCAACGTGTTTCTACATAAAAATATTTGTAAATAAAGTAAAATATACTGAAAAGTTTAAATCTTACAAAAACGAAGAGTCATAGCACCCATCTCCTAAATGAGCTGAAGGCTTTCATGGGTGAATGGTTGAAATAGCGCAGCAAATGCAGAAATAATAGTTAGTAGTGAAACAGCTTTCACTCAGGTAGTTCCACCTCAGATATGAAATAAAGAGAGCAGCTGTTCAGAGAAAAGCATCTTTTTATTTCGTTGACAGAAACTAGCTCAGATCATTTGCACATCTGATCAGAATGCCTTGATAATTACGTTAATTATCAGTTTTTCCAACTGACAGGAATTCACCTGCTTGAGGCATAATATCAAGAGATTATACGTTTTGTATGATTTGAGAATGACTCCTCCATGAGAATCTGAGAAACGTTTGAGAAGGTTAACTTCTTTATCTTGCCACTGTGTTGGCACGCTGGATTAGCAGCAGAAAGAAAGATGCACTTGATATTGGACATACAGGAAGTAAAGCATTATATAACATCCTATATTACCTTTCACACACACACACACACACACACACACACACACACAAAAAAAAAAAAAGCTAAACCATTTGAGGTTTTATTTAAAATGTGGTTGTCATTTCTACGTACCAAAATCTTTAGTTAGGTTTAAGTTTTATACATAAATCTTTTCCCTCTTCAGGTTTATGTGGGAACTTTAACATGGTGCTGAATGATGACATGAAGACCCCTCAGGGGATCGTGGAGGGAACTGCAGCCACTTTCTGTAACTCGTGGAAGGCTAACCTCATGTGCGCTAACACGAAGGAAAGACTGGATGACCCCTGCTCCCTCAGTGTAGAAAATGGTAAATAGCAATGCTGTTATAAAACTAGATCACATCCTAAAGTTGTATTATTGAAGCTAAGAGGACATTTTTGTTCCTTCTCAGAGTTGTATGCCAAACACTGGTGCTCCTTGCTCCTCAGACCCAACAGCACATTTTCACAGTGCCGCTCAGTGGTGGATCCTGAGATCTTCTACAAGGTACAGTAAAATGTTTCAATCTTTAACTGAGTTCACTTGAACTTTTTTGAAAGTGTTGGTTGTCTTCTGCAGCGCTGCCTTTACTCCAGCTGTAACTGTGAGAAGAGCGAGGCCTGCCTGTGTGCCGTCTTCTCCTCCTACGCTCGAGCCTGTGCAGTGAAGGGCGTGATCCTGACAGACTGGAGAGAGAACGTGTGCAGTAAGGGTTTAATTTTATTTATTGTGGCCCAGATTAGTAATAGCTCCTTGAGTTTGGTCACTTTCATTGGTAGGAAATAAAACAAATCGTCTTGTCACTGTCTAAATGATAGGCAAGTATGCAAAGAGCTGCCCGGTGTCACAGATCTTCTCCTACAATCATCAGAGGTGCCAGCTGACTTGCACTTCTTTGTCCTCGGAGCAGCAGAGCTGCACCTCTGACTTTGTGCCTGTGGACGGCTGCTCCTGCGCTGAAGGACTCTATTTGAATGAAAAAGGTGTTTGTGTGTCGATGGCAAAATGTTCTTGTTACCATAATGGAGCTTACATTAAGCCTGGAAAGTCCATCAATATCAAAGATGAACACTGGTGAGTCAGTTCAGGATTTCCTCGGTGAATTGTTTTATTTTTTTAACTTTTGCCGTTATATCTCAAAGTGTACATGTCTTGTATTTTGTTCTTAAGCGTGTGCAACAATGGAAGGCTTCATTGCCATTCTTGGAGAACCCGCTCATCAGGTCAGCTTGTTTTCTATATCTTGACATTTTCACCACGCACACATGTGGTTACTCTCATTGACACATTTATGTTGTATGTTGTTACAGCATGTCCTTCTCCACAAGTCTTCTTCAACTGCTCCTCTGTGGGTTCAGGAGAACTCGGACTACAGTGCTCTCGAACATGTTTAAATCTGGAAAGTGATTGTGTGAGTTGTTCTTGCTGCTGTGGTTTAATGGTCCTCCCCAACAAACAGCTGTTTGGTTTCAACAAGACATTTCCTCACAAAACTAACATCCTACTGTCAGTAATTGTCTGTTTTGCTTCGTCAAACGTTACGATCTTTCTCCTTCTCAGGAATCTACAGAGTGTGAGTCTGGTTGTCGCTGTCCCGGAGGTCTTCTTGATGATGGCAAAGGTTCTTGTGTAGAGGAAAGAAACTGCCCGTGTCAGCACGATGGACAACTTTTTGCTCCTGGAACAACAATTCCAAATCAGTGCAACAGCTGGTAAGGCCACGTTCAGTATGGAGTATATTACGTATAAACCTTGGAAACGTGGAACATCATGCCAGCTTGCATGTTTCATTCAAGTAGTCAGCACAATATTAAATTTGACTGTTTCTGACAAATCTAGCACCTGCAAGAGCGGAAAATGGGAGTGCACTGAGGCAAAATGTCCAGGAACCTGCGTCATTTATGGAACAGGGCACTACAACACGTTTGATCAGCGAACGTATGGGTTTCAAGGAGACTGTGCTTATGTTGCTGCCCGGGTAAATAAAATGAATGTATTCAAAATCCTTCTTTCCCCTTTTTCACTCAAAAACTACTCTTAAAAAATGAATATTCCATGGATATATGGAAGGGATTAGATGACGAACACACTTACCATAAATTAGTACATGAACTTAAACTGATAGTACAGTAATTTCCAGACTATTGAGCGCACCCATTAACTGTTAGCTATTAACATTAATTAACTATTAACATTGACTGTTAAGCCATGCCCACTAAAAAATTGTACATATATAGACCACGCTTGTCTATAAGCTGCGACTGTCCACGTTGTAACATGAGATATTTACACAGAAAGATTTTTTTTCTTTTAATTAAATACGTACCGGTAACATACACAAATATGTACAGTGAATGTTTTTTTTTCTGAACAGTGCCTGTAACACGACTGGTTAAAAAAAAAATACATACAGTAACCTACCAGGAAGCCACTGATCGCTATAGTGATCATTGATGGTGAAGATATATCTTCACCATCCTCCTGCCCAGGATTGTGTTGTCCTCCATCACGCAGCTGCCTGCCTGTATCCCACAGAGCTCGGAGTGGTCAGATTTATTTTAAACTTTGTTTATACAAGTAGTCTCATTGAGTCACGAGGACCCACCCCCACAAGAGAGATGTGTATTGAGTAGCTATGTGAGCGCCCAGGTGTGATGAGGCTAAATGTTTTGGCAGCATGAAGCTCGTTAGCCCATCAAAAAAAAAAAAAAAACATCTACAAATTATCCACAGTTTTGTTTGTATAAGTCATAGTGTTCAAAGTGTGTGAAAAAAGTAGTGGATTATAGTCCGGAAATTATAGTAATCCCCTTAAAACAACTCCAGACTTAAAAATATCCTGGCTGTTCATATTAGGTCTGTTTTATGAACTTTCACATCACTGTTAATTTTGCATTATGTGATAATATATTTAAAAAATCTACGGTTAATTGCAAGTGCAAATAGTAGCAGCTAGCACATTTAGTGCGGTCAGGGACATTTCTAGAAAGACATTTCTGTGGGGATAACTGTGAAATATTAAAACTGACTGCCATGTAAAGGTTTATAAAATAGTATTTATGTGATTGGCTATGAAATTTTTATAGTCAGAGTAGTTTTAGTCTTGGCCCCGCTCAGACTACACACTAGTTCATCGTCTAACTACCCTTTTAAATACTATTAGACAGCGTTTTACAAATTTGTAACATAAAGATTAAAAAGCCACAGCTGATGCTGTAAAACGCTTGAACAATTCTAAGATGACCTGATGCATGCTCAATAATCCAGGTAGAAAAATCTAAAAAAAAGTTAAGTCAGGTCCTCTGGACAAGTTAAAAAAAAATTATTGAAAAATTTTGTCTTTTATTCAAAAGACCTTCAGTATTTTCTTCAGTTTTAACTTGTCCAGAGGACCTGATTTAACTTTTTTATAATTCTAAGATGAAATTTTCAAAAGGACAATTATTGTTATTATTTTATTTATGTTTTTTTTTTCTTCTTCTTAATCCTTCAATGATTTAAAGCAAAGGTTGTCGTGAATTATTCGTCCTCATCTGCTCACACAGACTCATGTTCGTGCTGCTGTTGTTTGGCGCATTGTTTTGTACTAGTAGTATATTCTTAGTTTAGTGTATTTCTTAGTTCATATCTTAGATCTTATTACTGTTTTTCTTTACAATTTGTATTTTTGTTGGATGTAACTGGGACCCTGTGTACAAAGTACATAGTTCCACCTCATGTACCACATGTGATGTGAATGACAATAAAGACACCTTGACCTTGAATTAACAGGTCCTAGTTTCACAGAATTTCTAATGAATGTCTTTATTTTTAGAACAAATGTGGGAACAAAACAGCTGCACAGACCTTTGGCGTTTTCACAGAAAATGTACCGTGTGGCTCCACTGGCACCACATGCTCCAAAATGGTCAGAATTCAGTTGGGGGTAAGTCCAAGCACAAACATCTGATAAGTTTTCACGCCTGAAGTGTGGATTTAAATAGTCTTTTCAGCATGTGTTCACACTTCAGAAATCTTTACATTGCAGCGAACAGAAATCAAACTATCAAAGGGTAAATATGAAGAGAAAGATCTGGAAGTTGGCCCACAGATTCAGTACAGAATAAGGACGGTCGGTTTGTACCTGGTGGTAGAATCTAATATCGGCTTGGGAGTGATGTGGGATCGCAAAACGACTGTCCGCATCCTGCTGGAACCACACCACAGTGTGAGTCACTGTGTATTTGTGATGATTGACGTCTCTCATTGTATGAATGGTTGTTTTGTTAAAAGACACTTTATCATTTTGTACCAATACGAGTCAGGCCATTGAGTTGGTTACCCCTGTGCGTTTGTGTAGGGTCAAGTGTGTGGCCTGTGTGGAAATTTTGATGGGGATGGACAGAATGACTTCACCACTCAGGGTCAGCTGGTGGTGAATAACCCATTAGAATTTGCAAACAGCTGGAAAGTGACTAGCACTTGCCCAGATGTGGAGGAGAGTGTTGACGCTTGTGAAGCAGCTCCTCAGCGGCATCAGTGGGCGAAAATGATGTGCAGCATCATAACAGGAACTACATTCAAAGACTGCCACCACAAGGTGCGAAACCACTGGTTGTGTGATTGAAGTTGTGTGATTTGCATTTTTAACATTTCTAATCGTCATATTTGTGATTCTTTATTTATTTATGTCTGACAAAGGTCGATCCGCTTCCATTTGTTGAAAACTGTGTGAAAGACTCGTGTGCCTGCGACACCGGAGGAGACTGTGAGTGCTTCTGCTCAGCTGTTGCAGCCTACGCTCAAGCTTGTAACGAGGCTGATGTTTGCGTTGCATGGAGAACTCCAGACATTTGCCGTAAGTGAATGTTTCTGTTCTTAAAATGAAAAGTGTTTTTTACCTTTTCTGACAACATTAAACACTGATTTGTTTCTCTCTAGAGAGCTCAACATTGAACTGCAGCATTGTTTCTGTTCACCCATATATAAATATGTGTTATATATATATATAGCCTGTTTAAGAAATAGACACTTTCACATAGTTAAAAAAATTCTGAAAACATTTTTAAACTTTTTGCCATTCTAAAAAACATCATCCTTAGAAACCATTTGTACCAGTCAGACTAAAACTCTTTAAGATTCCTACAACTTTGATTTCTAAATTCATACATCACCTTAAACAAACAAGCAAACAAAAACATCTGGCTCAAGTTCTTATAGTCTTTAAAAGAGGATTTTTTTTTTAATGTTCCTAAACTTTTTAGTGTTTGACCCATAAAATTAAAGTTGCATAGACTTGTGACTCCAACAGGTGCTGAGTTAAGTATCCAAATATTACCAAGAAGCCATTTAACAAGATTCACTATTAACATATATTTTTATATTATAGTATTTTTTATTATAATGTGAATTTTTGATTTATTTATAACAAATATGGGTAAATATGCCATTGACATTTTTTTATACAAGTTATTTGAGTTATGTGCATCTTTCCACAACCCCCTATTTGGTGTTTCAAAAACCCCATGAAGATCCAATCTTTGGAAAACATCTAATTTAGAGCATATATTTCAATGAGTTTTGAAAATAAAATATACTCATGAACATTGTCTATAACTGTTCAATGACATGTAAAGTAAATGATAGTTTCCAAAATTATGCACCGCAAAAAGGAAATGTTCAAAACTCAAACTTGTGCTTTAAAGATGTAATCACACTGACTTGATTTGGGTTTTTCTCTGTGCTAAACAAATGTATAAAAATATATGAGTCCAAATTTTTAATTTTACTGGACTTACACTGTCTTGCTCTTTTCCAGCTGTTTATTGTGATTACTATAACAATCCAGAGGACTGTACATGGCATTACAACCCATGCCACACACCCTGCTACAAGACTTGTTTATATCCAGAAGGCGTTTGTAGCAACCCAATACCTGATCTGGAGGGTGAGAACTTTATTACAAACATCATGTTTCACTTGTGTATAACAAATATTCCATCCTAACCAATATTGGTGTTTATATGTGACTCTTTTCCCCCAGGCTGTTATCCTGTATGCCCGGAGGATAAGCCTATATTTGATGAGAAGAATGACACATGTGTAGACAAATGTCCATATTGTGTTTACAATGGAACTGTATATGAAGAACACGAAGTTATTTACAATGTCAGCGACAACATGGGAATGTGCTACTATGCAATCTGCATTAACTCAACCGTTGTTGAAGGAAGTGAGCCCTGTCCACCGAGTACAACCATAGAACCAACTACAACTACACAATCTACACCTCCACCCACTACAACCCCAGAACCAACCACAGCTACAAGATCTACACCCCCACCCATACAACCCACTACAACACCTGAGCCAACTACCACAAAAGCTACACCTCCACCCACACCACCCACCACAACTCAAGAACCGACCACAACCAAAAAATCTACATCACCACCATCACCACCTACAACAACAACTGAGCCAACCACCACAAAAGCTACACATCCACCCACACCACCCACAACAACCTCAGAATTAACAACCACAAAATCTACACCTACAACTACCTCTAGTCCTATTATTTCAACTCCATGTGTTCCAACTTGTGAATGGTCTGATTGGTATAATGTCCATAATCCAGCAACTGATAACAATGACTGGGAAACATATGAAAACATCACAAACAGTGGCCTACACATATGTGAAAACCCCACAGAAATTGACTGTAGGTCAGTTCTATTTCCAGACATGGACTTTGATGAATATTTAGATGAGACTAAGCAAGTTGTTTCTTGTGATGTGGACTATGGTTTAATATGTAGAAAAGAAGACCAGCCACGTAAAAAACTGTGTTTTGACTACAAGATCAGAGTGTGCTGTCCAGTTATATGTGAAACCACAACTCCAGTACCCACACCACCAACTACAACCCCTGAGCCAACCACCACAAAGGCTACGCTTCCACCAACACCACCCACTACAACTCTAGGCCCAACAACAACAAAATCTACACCTCCACCCACACCACCCACAACAACCCCTGAGCCAACCACAACCATACAATCTACACCTCCTACCAAACCACCCACTACAACACCTAAGCCAACCACCACAAAGGCTACGCTTCCACCAACACCACCCACTACAACTCCAGGCCCAACAACAACAAAATCTACACCTCCACCCACACCACCCACAACAACCTCTGAGCCAACCACAACCATACAATCTACACCTCCTACCAAACCACCCACTACAACACCGAAGCCAACCACCACAAAGGCTACGCTTCCACCAACACCACCCACTACAACTCCAGGCCCATCAACAACAAAATCTACAGCTACACCCACACCACCCACAACAACCCCTGAGCCAACCACAATGACAAAATCTACACCTCCACCCAAACCACCTACAACAACACCTAAGCCAACCACCACAAAGGCTACACTTCCACCAAC